GGGTGTATGAATTTCTCTGAGACTAATATAGTAATAGGTATTAAAGTAAAGATATGAAGTTGCAACCAGTCGTCTTCTCTTCTCTTTTTAGTATGCATTCACAAAAAATCCTCCAGTTACGTTTCCTTAAAAATTCAAGATGGTTTTGGGTGGTATTGTCGCAAATAATTACGAGCGATATGGGAAAAAGCATTTATAGGATTAAGATTTCATATCAAGTAATGTAAGCTTTAAATTAAGATTGAGGCGAAATTAGACAGATAGATTTTAAAATGTAAAAAAGAATATTTGAAAGTTTTAGTCGGGAAAAAAGAATTTAGAAAAAACACTTGTTAATAAATCACTTGTACACAATATCAAATATTGAATATGAATCAGATGTTCTATATAATGACAAATATGGAATTTTGGAAAGGACTGTGGTTAAAATTTTAAGTAGGTTAATATTTAAAAAAGGCATCCCCGATTAAAAACGGTACCCTTTTAACCTTTTAACCCCTTCAAATCGAATTTTTACCATGTGTTTTTTTATTTTTATTTTTTATAAACCATTTTAACCTCTTTTGATTTTTATGGAATCGATTTGATATAATTTTAAAGACCTAATTGGGAATGCATATACCAAGTAAACGTCCAATAATTGTTTACCAAAAAAAGTGTAGATCTGATCAACAAACTGGAATACAATCTTTTTTTTTATCTTGGAAAGTGATTCATTCTGACAATTAACTCCATTATCTCTGAATAAAAAATGTCCAAAATTAACGAATTTAAGCCGCGTCTCAAAACCCCCCAAAAACCGGTTTTAATTAAACGCCGGCTTAAATCTTGAAAAATTAAATACAATTTTAAGTGGAACCAATGATATTTGAGCCGCGGCTCAAATTCTTTAAAGTTAAATTCGGCCTCAAGACACTTTACATACAGTGATAATCAGAAAACACTGGAATAGAAACACTTTTAAACTCAAATTATGACTCTAGATAATCCAATAAGCTCGGGAAACAGAAATTGTTCAGTTTAAACAGACCCATTTTACTTGATTTCTGATTTAATAAGTGTCTAGTAAAACTATTTGCTTTCTAACAACATCAAAAACACTTAAGTTTTGCGACTTAGTCTTTTTCCTATTTTGGAATTTTCTGGTTATGACTGTAGAACCTACAAGTAAAAATAAAGAAGATTGTGATTATATAAATTTTTGATCAAAACTTCCAGGGGTACAGTTGTGAAATGTGAATCGGATATGTCACTCTGTAAATGAGATTCACCCGGTACTATAGTTTCAGTAGAAGAAAATATTTCTATTTACTAATAGCGCTGATTGAAGGATTCATAACTCTGATTGGATAATGAGCTAGTTAGAAAGATAGATGTTACCGCCATACTATTTCTATTGGTTCAGAATAGACAACAAACACATGGCTGAACCCTGATTGGATCAGGGGCTAATGGAACGGCATACAGGAGTGGTACCCCAATACTTAAGGGTGTAAGTAAAGCAGATTTATGACTTAATACACTGTGTTTAGAAATGATTTTTTAAGTAGGTAGTATGCAAGAAAAAGTTAGGTTTCATTTTTTTATTGACAACCTTATTGTAATCAGTAAAAAGGTTTTAAAAACTTTATAAAATTTCTTTTTGTAATGACTAAAGAAATATAAATCATAAAAATTCCGGAAACTTGTTTTTGTCCAGGGTGAATTTATGTTAGCAGTAATATTTTAAAAATAAATTTTTATCAAAGAATTTTTTCAAAAAAAAATACTTTACTAAACTATTTTAATGGAACTCCAAAAATATTTACATACTTTGGGATTCTCACACCATAAGTAAATATTGTTTACCTTGTAGACTAGGGATTCTCACACCATAAGTAAAAATTGTTTACCTTGTAGACTAGGGATTCGTGAAATATTCTACTGTGTCGTCCACCCAGGGTGAAAGCTGAAAACAAAAATATTTAAAAAATTTTCAAAAAACATTTTTCAAATAAGTAAGTGAAAAAAATCGAATCAAAGCCCATTGAAAAGTTGTTCGGGCTGTATACACTTATTTCTTAAAATTTATTAGTAACATGAATTTGAAGAAAATTAGGTCTAATAAAATTGTGTAAGAAAATTGTGTGACCTCTATAAAATGTTCAATATCAATATCAATAAAATACAATTTTTTAACATGAGTTTTTTAACTTTACTTTATAAACCATTTTAACCTCCTTTGATTTTTACTCTAACCGATGGAGTCGATTTGATATAGTTTTAAAGACCTTTTCGGGAATGTACCAAGTAAACGCCCAATAATTGTTTATCAAAAAAATGTAGATACCAATTTAAACAAACTAAGAAAAGCTTAGTTTGTTTAAATTCCTCCTTGAAAGGGTTAAAACTGCAGTACACTTTTTGATATATTTCTTTCTTTCTCAAATAGTCTAATCCATATATCTTTGCAACCTGATGGTGTAAACCTTTGATTTTTTAAACTTAGATCTTTTGATCTCATAGAATTCATATTTCATATGAAGTATGAACTAGGGTGTTAATCGTTTTAAAAAACGAGCAAAACAGTATCGTTTTATTATTAAATGCTAATGTTGATTGGTTTTTTAACGATGGTACGGTTGTGAAAACGGTCATTAACGATCAATCATACTAGAAAAACGTTGCACTCATAAAACACTACCAGAGAAAAGTAAAACTCTAGTCAAGAAAAAACTAAAACTTATGTATAATGATTTTTTAAAAATACAGGTTAAACCCAATCTAAAATTTAAACGTTATATTATTTCATTTAATGGAGTAACGTTTTATCTGATACCGTTTTTTGAGTGTAACGTTTTATCTGGTACCATTTTATGAGAGTAACGTTTTATCTGGTACTGTTTTTTAACATTTTTCTAGGTAGACATAACGAACGTATACAATCGTCGATAATCCCAAAAACGACCTAAATTTTTGTTGATAAATCGACGAATAAAAAAGATAAACTATTACTTTTTTTCAATTTAAAACACGATTATTTGTTTGTTTTGAAAAAGATTTTTTTTTCATTTTTATTTTTTCTACATTGGGTAGCAAAGATAATGTGATTAGAATATCAGAGTTTGTGGCAAAGGCTTAATTCTTTTCTTGTTATCGAGATGAGTTTAAATAAAAACAACAGCTACAACTCCATATATTGCCATGGGGTCTCAAAGTTTGGAAGTTAGATTAAGTATGCTAATTTGTTTTGATTAACACTACACTATACACTGTTAGTAATATATATGCATATTAGGATTCAAATTATTGAGAAACAAACTTAATTTTTTATTCTAATATTTATGGAATCTGATGTCGTAGACCTGTGATATTTCAAACTATGAGTTCTGCTAGATCTAATAGTCAACATGTGACCCCTTCATGCAAAAATGGCAATCCCCGAATTTGCAACGCGGTACCCTGGAAATTTTTTTTTTTTTCAATAATGTGGAAGATATTGTTTTTTTTCTAGATTTAAAAAAAATCAATCTTGATAAATCCTATGTACAAAGCTTTTAAGGATAACCCTTGTAAATCAGCCATTGCAATCATTGCATAGGGGTCACTGAACACTACGCTTATACAGTCCCTTTATTGTGAATAATTAATATTTCTTCTAAATAGTCATTTAATATTTTGGGATTCAAATTATGTAACTTTGCGGCGTGCGTTTTTAAGATACCAATCCCCTATGAAGCGCAACTAGCACTTTTGTAAGGGGGGGGGGGAGAAATTTGATTTTAAGGGGCTGTCGAAAAATGCCACTGTTTTAGGATTTGATGTAAAAAACAGCATTTTTAATTGTTGAAGGGTTGGCTCTGCGCTAAAAAATATGCCGAATTCTTATAATTACCTTGGTTTGTTCTTGTCTTTAAGAAACATATACTTCCAACAGTTTTAAAATGAAAAACATGAGTAAATTAATTAAACATTTGCGCGAAACGCCAACAAATTTCTGTTCTTGTAGTGTCTTAGTCATATTCCATATATATAAATATACATTACATATATTAAATAGTCCCCTAGTCCCCTATTACAGTCTACAGCAGTTTTTTGTAATTAATCCACCAGTCATATTGGTATACTATATTTCGTTAATTCTAAGATCTGTGCAGCCCTAAGTTGTTAGTAGTTCCTGGGAGTACTTGACTGTATTTCGTCTGTCCATCATCCATAATAGTCTTTCTGATCAAAGTCCCTCTTATTTGCCATGGTCCTGTTTTCCTCTTAAAGTCTGCAAAAGTCCTAATAGTCCGATATAATCCTTATTATATTTCTTGTTATTCTTCTTAGGTTGTCAGGTTTTGTGTAACCTTAAATTATATATGTATTGTAATACTCATGAGAACTAACAAATATACAAGTTTTTTGAAAGGATCACTTAAGAATGACTGACTTTCTTTAGATGTAAAACGAGAAAATAGTTGGAAATTCTATTAGCAATGTTGCGTGAAGCGCCAAAGAACAGTTTTGGTATTTTTTCTTAATTGACACTATTTGATAAAAAATGGTTCACAATCATGATCATGCAATAGTCAAGTGAAGGGGGGGGGGGCGAAACTCGGTTCGCTCCCCCCCTAGTTGCGCCACTGAATGTTTATTGACATTATATTAAATTGTGTGACAAGTTTACAAAAAAATCAAATTGCTTCCTGTGATTACTTCTATATTCTCAACAAAAAAAAACATGGCGTCGAATGCAAATTCAACATTTTTATGGCAGAATTGCATTCGGAGTTTTGTTACTTGGTTGAGCAACGTCAAATTAGACAAATTTCTGGCGCGGAAAAATAACAGGAATTATAAATTCGCATTTCCTTACCAAAATATTTCCTACTTATAATTGAGAAAATTTAAATTTAAATGAATTTCAAATGTCTAACCCTTCGTATGGAGATTCCTTAATATTTTTTTTAATGAAATTACCATCATTTTTCTAGAACATATGAACAAAATTTTTAGGAATATCTCACAAACTCAAACTGTCTAATTTATAAACTAATTTGATATTTGATCTAACGGATGTATAAAATCCCTATAGTGCCCCTGTATAAATTGAAATAAATGTATAAAGGTGGGAGGTTGCAAGAGCTTGAAATGTGTTCTAAATTATTTTTATCGACTTTCTGTGAAAAAGGTGCACTGCAATGCAATCTTCCAAATACAGCCGTTATATATCCTTATATACAGTAAGATCCATTAAACTATGGAATACGAAGACGACCTAAGTTATGACTTCCAATAGTCCATAAACTAATGCAATTGTGCATTTGACATAGACCCAGATTAATATCATCAAATAAGATTGTTAAAATTTCATCTTTTTTACCGTTTTATGGAATTCTCTGTTCAAATATGTTTTTAAAAGAATTTCATTAAAAGACGCTGCTGGAGAAATTTTTTTTTTAATTTTCAAATTTTAGCTAAAAGTTTTCATTATTAGATTTGTGCAAAAAAGAAGAAAAATGGCTGTAAAATACGAGATTTTTTTTGTATAAAACTGGGTCAGGAAAAACAACATTTTAGCGATTAGTTTTTATAATGTTTTTTCTCAGTGCTTCATTTATTTACTTTCTTATTTTTTATTACATTTTATGGGGAAAATATCTATCTTTCACTCTGATCATTTCGTACTGATGTGTACGCCGGCAAAATGTCAACTAAATATATTATCTAAGTTTAAAGCAAACCCCTGTAGACTCTGCAGTATGTGTACTTTATAAACCCCACTTCCTCGTGAAATCGAGTTTTCCTGAGACGAATTGGCTGAGTGTCTATCTTTGTCTTTTTTTTTGACCATTTCCGAGTAAATGACCGATGTAATTTTATGAAATGTGTTTATGGATTTATAATAATTATATTATTTGGAATTGCACCTATTTTTGCGGTGCATGACAATCGATGGAGAAATCCTTTTTAATATTTAATATTAATTATCATCATCGTTTTCGCTTAGAACCACACAAAAGCAATATATCAAGCAAATAAAGTAAAATATATATTTAAATTAATATTTTATAAATAATCTTATAGATAAAGCAGAATCGCGTAATATATATATGTTTATATACTATATAGTGAATGTAAGGTTTTTCAAACTCCACGGACAACGCCGGGCACTTTAGTTTATTTATAATAAAATAACAATTTGTAAAACATCCTAGATTTAGCTTTAGCATAAAAAAGATCAAATCAATCAATCAAATTACATATTTAAAGTTAATTCTTGTCCGTGTAAAATGAAATAAACGTATTGTTTCACGTGCAGAATTATGCTTTATAATTGTTTTGTTTAAATCCGTGAACTTATTAAACAATATTTTCAATATTTCCAAAAATACGGAAAGCTTAAATTGTCAAAAAACTGATTAATCTCAATAACTTTAAATTTCTAACCACATACTTTGCAACCTGATGTGAAGACCTTTAATATGTTAGGGAGGTTAGGCCTCAGGGGTCGAACGCTGTGTCTAGAATGGGCTAGGGGATCGAGCGCTGTGTCTAGAATGTGCTAGGGGGCCGAGCGCTGTGTGGTTAGAATGGGCTAGGGGGCCGAGCGCTGTGTCTAGAATGGGCTAGGGGTCGAGTGCTGTGTCTAGAATGGGCTAGGGGTCGAGTGCTGTGTCTAGAATGGGCTAGGGGGCCGAGCGCTGTGTCTAGAATGGGCTAGGGGTCGAGTGCTGTGAGGGGTCGAGTGCTGTGTCTAGAATGGGCTAGGGGGCCAAGCGCTGTGTATAGAATGGGCTAGGGGTCGAGTGCTGTGTCTAGAATGGGCTAGGGATCGAGTGCTGTGTCTAGAATGGGCTAGGGAACCGAGTGCTGTGTCTAGAATGGGCTAG